GTGTATTTATGAGATTCCATTCACATTGATTTGGTCTGTACATGATTATTAAAGTACTTATCACTAAGATTATTTCTCAGAAGATCATAGATAACACAAGATTATCCACAGAATAAGTGAGCCTATAATTAGCCTGCTGGAATTTCCTTGAATCTGATCATTATCATTTTCTCAAGACTTATCAGTATTTGACATGGAATTTTTCATATTTTACTTCCATATCTTCCTACTGAAATACTGGTTCCATAGGGACAAAAATCTTACCCTACTTGTCCGTATATGTCCAGTGCTTCAAACAGGTCTAAGCACCAGAAGAAGTCAAATATAAATTTGTCAAGTGAAGGGATAAAGGAATGGCTTCCCCTTTTTTAACCTCCTCCACTGCCCTTCCTCCATGTAAATGTTAAACTAACTGCTCTCAAGTCAGAACCAACTTATATAGGGCTTACCCTCCAGAGGGTTCTCAGGGGTTGTAAATCACACGGGAGGAGATTATCCATCTTTATCCTATGGAGCTGCTGGCAGATTTGAACCACCAGAGAGGAGTAACCTTTGGGTGAGTAGTGTAACTAAGCATTGTTTAAGGCCAACACAAGTTCATTACCTCCATGAAGATTAATTCCCTGAAACTCTCAAAACTTTCTCATCAATTTGACACTCAGCAGCTGATAGTTTTTTATCATTACATTATACACATACACACACACTCTGCCTTTAAAGTTTTACAATCCAATCCTCCTGGCCTCCATAAGGCCAGTGTCTCCAATTATTGGTACCCACACACACATGTTGTTACTATTGGTACATGTCTTCAAGCTGACTAGAACTCTTAAGTGAGCCTATAAACAAGTTTGGTGGCCCAGTGTCAAGAGATCTGTACTGCTATCTCAAAGGCATTCAGTTAAAATCCATCAGCTGCTCCTTGGGATAAAGATTAGTAATTTCCTGTGCAACTGAATGTCTCTGAAAACCTGCTGGAGGGTTAGCTATGACTCAGCCCCAATTTCAAACTACACAACAGTATGAAAAATAGATCTCAACCTTGCCCTAGCCTGTGCCATCCTCACCATCTCTGATATCCACAAGCCCAACGTTAAGAGTCACTGTGTCAAGCCACACTTTGAATAAAGGTTCTGCTTGATTTTCATATTGCTGATTCAAAAATAAAAGAACCATTTCAATTTCTATATCCCTCCCTCCTGAATGGGAGCCCTGATGACTTAGTGGTAAGGAGTTGCACTGCCAACCTACAGGCAGGTGGTTTGAATCCACCCGCTGCTCCACAGGAGAAAGATGGACAAACTCCTCCTGTGCAATTTACTGTCTGAAAATCTGCTGGAGGGTCAGCTATGAATTGGTTCCAACTGCATTACCTGTAACAACTCTTCTAAATAAATAGGTCGTGAAAGCACTGTGGGTCTCCCTCTTTTAAATTGATCTCTGACAAGTATAAAGTTTCTATTTCTTGTTCATAATTTACTTTCTTCTTCCCGTCCCCCAGATTAAATTTTTTATGCAATTAAATGCTTTATGACTTTAGTGCTAACTATGATGCCTCTAACCCCAGTCACAGGGGAGGTGGTGAAGTTTCATTACCTTCTTGTTGCAGAGGTATCTATGGATATTTTTCCCTCCATTCCTTTTTCCTTTCATGCCCAGATGTATCACATTCCCTCCTTTACCAATCATACCCCTCACAAACTTTGATTATTTCTTAGTACCTGTCCTTGTTAATATGCCTTAAATACTACTTTTTGAGCCACTTGGGTTTATTTCCTCCAGTCATTTATTACAATTCTCTTTTTCTCAGTATGTTTGAAAATGTTTTGTCTTAAACCTCAATCCTATTTCTTTAAATCCAGACAACCTTTATGACCTCATCCCTTTACAAAGCCAACCCCTGATCATCGGGGGGGACTGACGAAATGCCAGATAAAAATACCAGATTATCAACCACACAAGGTGGGGAGGAGATGAAATCTGGCTTTGGAATATATCGTGAGCCTTTGGGCAAGATTTTCTAACTAAATGTTTTGTTCAAGCCAATATTAGTAATAATGACTTTCTTTTATGTTAGATATGCGTCTCAGCTTTAAAATGTGATGTTATTAAAAAGAAACCAATTAAACATCAGCTGAGGTTTCCCTCCCTCCTAAATGAAGCCACCTCAGTCGGTTCCTCCAATCTTCTAAAAGCTATCATAAAATCTGGTTGGTTTCCCTTAATATTTCCCTTCTTTTTGTGACGTCAAATTCAAAACAGCTTACAATATATTCATTTTCTTTTTTCCTTAAAATCTTCTGCTTGAGACCTCAAAGTATTATAAAAGCATTACATTTCCAGTGACATTTTCTGTCCAGATAACAGAGAATAGAAATTTTTTTGTGAAATACTCCAGGAAAACCTGGGTTTCTAGGATAAATTGCACTGGTAATTCCAGCCAAGAATTTCTAGTAGGAAATTATGATTGGTTGAAAACAAGTAACACTTGATAGTGATAGAAGTCTGTTGACAAATCAGTAAGTCCATATCCAAAAATGCTATTGAATTAATTCCCAGTAAAGAAGTTTACAGGGAAAAACAAAACAAAACATCAAAACAAACTTATAGATCAATTTCAACATTCTTTTGGCCACAGTCAGCTCAGACCTGCTCTTAAACCCTCATCTCTGCCTCACTTCCACTCCTAATCATGCCTCAAATAAAAGTAAGTATATAGTAGAAAAAGAATCAGCTTAACAGGATCTCCTCTTCTGTCCTTTTCTTGATGTTATTAAAACTTTTAGCCTCAGAGACCCACCCCAAGCCCCCAATTTTATATATCCATTTGCCAAACTAGCAAGCAATTCTCCAATTCAAGGAGAAAAATAGAAAAATTTTATATTTCTATTCCCCCACCCATCTAACTACAAAAAACAAAAAAACCCACCAACCCTAAAATGTCTAACTGGAACACCCATACATAACGTTAAGTACAATTTTAAACTAAATCAAGTCTTTTACTCTGAGTTACCAATATAGTAAAAAAATTTTTTTCAAATGCCATTATCATAGTTCATAAACTTTTGTTTACATATGAATATAGATGTATAGTACTTGATCAGCAGAATTAAGAAAGAATTCATTTGTCATTTTTTTTCCCCATGTGGAACTTTGGTAAACGCATATTAGTTCACCTAGAGACTAACTTTGGACTTGTAACATTAAACCCTATTTTTTACATAAAACATTAACTGAAATGTAAATTAATATACTAGTCCACCAAGTGTACAAACCAGTACATTTCACTTTTATTTCAAAAAGAAAAAAAACCTTTTTCACAGAATCCATTCACACAAACTGACTAAAATACCTAAGTAAAGCCACGGGTTCTGGATTTTGAGTTTTCCAATTCTCCAACCTGATGGCTTCATCAAATGCACAACTCCATTAAATGCATAACTCAGTTAATTGCCTTGTCTCCCAAATTGTGTTTCCATCAACAGACATGATTCTCAAGAGAAAGTAAGTAACTTTTAAAATTAATTCAAATGGTAAAGATTTTTCTTCTTTTAAAATTGTGCTTTGAGTTTTAAAATCTTAAACTTTTGATGATGATTAAATAGGATAAAACCTTAGATCTGTCACTTCATTTACTCTGCACCAGTCCCACAGACAGTGGCATATAAATAAAAAGCGTTTTTCTCACATTCATAAAGTTCCCCTAAGAATAGTCATGTAAGGTAAATTCCACCCACACCGGATACACACACACACACACACACACACACACACACACACACGCAGAGAGTAGAAGGACCTAGGCAGAGAAACATACCTGATCATTTTCCAAACAGGTTTGATAGGTTTCCTTCACTTGTAAAAGTATTTACGTATTTACTTACAAAGCATAAGTGCAGCCAAAGCACTGAATAAACAAAAAACTGAGTTTTAAAAATCCTGCATCTTACCCATGGTTCAAGGGGACACAGCACAGCTAACTTCACAGCAAATGAGATTATGCAACAGGTTTTTCCTCTCCACCTTATTCATTACAGGCTGGTTAGAGGTGTGCTTTTTCCAAACAATTTCAAACACCCAAGACTTCAAAACACCAAAATCTCTGCAGTTGACATTTAACAAACTACTTTAGGATTTGAAAGTATCCATTCATTTTGTTAATCCTGGTTGAAACCCTAAATGCTTTAAAAAAAAGAAGAAAAAAAAACAACTTGTATTTTCTCAATTACCGACTGTCTTTAGGAAATAAACCCAACATCAGAAAAGTTAAGGTTCTGCATAAATATCCCGTCACTCGGAATTTTATTACACGGAACTAAACATGATAAACAGACCCTCAGTTGTCTCCCTGGGCTTTATTTCTCATGTTTTCCGGCGGGTGTAAATAAAGAAGACACTGACGCACCGGGCCCCACAATACCATGACCCAGGGCCCAAATGAAAATTGAGATTTGGGGGGTCGGGGGGAGGGGTGGCTGGTCTGGTTTAAGGAAGCAGCACCGTCACCACCCAGGTGGCCTCTCTGCTTACACCAAAGGCGAATTTGGGATAATGGGAACAGTCAGGCCGGGGCCCCACTTGGCAGGCGTGTTGTGTAACAGTCGTGCCTGGAAGTGAGCAGCTTCGCCCGCGAAGGTACAACGTCCTCTCCGGCGGGGCCCGGGCTGAGTCCGCTCGCCGCCGCACGGCCAGGGGCGCACGGACAGACCCCGCGCCCGGCCGCCCGCCCCCTTCCCGCTCGGGCCGGCCCCCAGCAAGGCCTAACCCCCCCACCCACTTTAAACGCTTGCGCGGCTCCGAGCCTCGGCCACCCCCACCCGGTCTTCCGAAAAGGTGGCCGGGGCTCCCGGGAAGGCTGAGCCCGCCGGGCGAGAGCGGCGCACCAGGTACCCCGGAGCCCAAGCACGCCGCGGAGCGTCCATGCCGCTTGTGCGGAGGGGCGCTCCGAGCCCCGCGCCCTCCCGCCCGCAGAGTCCGCGGGCCGGCCGAAGGCCACTTACTTTTGGGGCCACCGACCTCCCGACTCCCTCCGGGGGAAATGGAAGTTGTCACGCCGTCTCCCTTTGGGCCCCCCTCGCCTTCAGGACCTGCGAGGCGCCGCTGCGGAGCCGGGAGGGCGGCTGCGCTCCCGCTCGTGTCCCGTCCCGTCGCTCTCTCCTCCTCCTCCTCCTCTTCTTTTCACTATATTATCTTCTTCTTCTCTGAGGGGTGGGTAAGGGAGGGAGGCTTAGGAAGAGAGGAAACGTTTGCAACTTTTCTTCACTCTTTCTCTTCCACCCTCCCCCCCCCAACCCCAAGTCAGCCTTGAGGGGAAAAAAAGGCAAAAGAGGTGAAGAACTTGGAGAGGTAAAGGTAGAGAGTCGGGTGGGAAAAGTGGAGGGGGGAGGTGATAATAATCGCTTAAAAACTAATGAAAGCCCCCCAAACAGTGATACACAGAAAGAGGGGGGAACGGCAAGGGGGTGGGGTGGGGGTTGGGGGGAAAGAGAAAGAGTCGCTGGTCAGGAAACTTCAAGCGCGGATGAGGTCATTGGTTTAAAAATAAAGAGATGGCGTCACTTGAAACCAATCCCAGTGAATGAACTCAGCGGAGCCCCGGGGAAAGGAGGAGACAGGCGAGGGCAGGGCGGTGGGCGCCGGGCGGGGCCGTGCACCCGCCCGCCCATCCCACGGCCGCCGGAGCCCGGAGCGCGGCTCGGCGCCTCATTTCGGCAGCTCGGAAGGGGTCGGGGCACTGGCCCCTCCAGAGTTTGGTGATCGGGAGCAGGTTCCGCAGGCGCCGATGGGAGGAGCCGGGGCTGCCGGTGGAGACGGCCCCAGAGACGCCTCCTTCAACGCCCGCGTGCCCGCCGCCCACACGGGGCTGCTGGCCCCGAACCCCTGACCCCCAGTCTCCTCCCAGGCCACGTGCTTCTTGAGAGCTGCGCGCGACAAATACCTAAGGATTTTCACCCACAGACGCGTAGAGTCCTTTTCTCTTCCCTGGGATTGTTTCCAGCTGCCTCACCAGAGTAAAGAAACGCAAAGATTTGAGAGAATTACAATCTCTCTTTATAAATAGTCTGATGACTCCAAAATTCAGTGCTCTACTCGTTTCTTATTAAAAAGAAATTGCAGGTACTTTAAGAAATAACACTAATGTTGCTAGACATTCAACTGTGTGTTTTTCACTGAAAGGCCTCACATGCTTGTTCTTAAATTACTTCATGCCAAACAAATATGATGCTGGAAGCAGCCTAAAATTCTCTTTGCAACTATTTTTTATGTCTGAGAGCACAGAATCACCTTTAAATGAGACCGTGGTTCACTTACTCTTTAAGGATGGAGGTTCTTTTCTGATTGAACTCCCACCCCTAGTGCATTTTAAAATTTTTAATTTCTTAAAATAGCTTTGTTTTGAGACATTACACACCTTGGAAAACGAGAGACCAGAGGTGGTGACAAATCAGTACTTGGAATGACTGAATAGGACAATAGGAGCTTTATGCCAGTGTTCTTTGAGCATTTGAGCATGAAGCTGCTTCTACTGAGAAGTACTCACGTGGATATCACATAACAAAAATGTGATTAATGACGGAAAAGCACACTGCGAGTGGACTTCATGAGCCAGGGTTTTTGTATAGGGAATAATCTCTTAAAATATTCCGTGAGCAGTGTACAGGGTCAGGGACCCTGGTGTGGAATACGGATGTGAATGCCACCTAAGGAACTTTTTTTTTTTTAATTAGTAAAAATTGAGAAGCAGTTTTGGATAGGTTAGAATAATGAGACATCTCTATTGCATTTTTTTGCTTTTAAGTGTATGACCACTAAAGGACATTCATCATTACTGGTAATTACTTAAGGACAGTATTGTGGAAATGTTGCTATAAGAACTCAGGTACTCCCAATCCAAGACATGGAATTTTCTTATACATGTGAAAACTGGACAATTAATAAGTAAAAGAAAAAACAAATTTATGGTTTTGAGTTAAAATTTTGGCAAAGAATATTGAATATACCATGGACTGCAGAAAGAAGGAGCAAATCTGTCTTCAAAGTACAGCCAAAATGTTGTTTACATGGAAGAATAACAAGACTTCATCTCATATATTTTGCATATATTATGAGAAAGGACCGGCCCTTAAGGTAGGGCATTATGCTTGGTAAAATAGAATGTCAGAAAAAATAAGAGAACACTCAACAAGATTAATTGATACAGTGGCTGTAACAATGAGCTCAACAATTGTCAGGATCTTGCAGGAATGAGCAAGTATATCCTTCTGTGAATCAGAACTGACTTGAGGGCACCTAACAACATTATATATAGGTTGGAAAGATCCATGGTGACACAGCGGTATAGTGATCCATTGCTAACCAAACGAAACCGAACCAAAGATTGGCAGTAGGAACCCACCATCCTCTCCATGGGAGAAAGCTGCGTTAATCAATGTCCATTAAAAATGTTGTTAGGTATTGTTGAATTGATTTTGACTCATTGACTCTATTTACAACAGAACAAAACCGTGCATGATCCATAAAGACTGCAACCTTGGAAACCCTGTAGGGTAATTCCACCTTGTCCTATTGGGTCTCTATTGATCGGAATTGGGATTTCATTATAGAATAGGCCTCCTTCGAAATTCATACCATCTTTTACAATAGGCCTAGGAACCAAGATGGAGATTGGAGATAGTGCAGCATTTCAAGCAATGAGAGAAGCCTGAAGACCACAAATGAAAAGCTGTTCTATTTCTGTCTGTCACCTCCCTAAGATTTCTATGAAGGGGAAGCATCTCTCCTTCTGTTCCCAGTGTTCTACTGGCGAAATGTTACTGCAACTTCCTTGGGATTACCTGTACTCTGAAAATAACCAGTTTTTGAATCAGTTCTGATTCATGACTACCCAAGTGTATCAGAATAGATCTGTGCTCCATGGGTTTTAATGACTGATTTTTTTTTTTTTGGAAGTAGATCTACAGACCTTTCTTTCTGAGACACCTCTGTGTAGAAACCAACCTCCAACCTTTTGGTTAGCAACTAATCATGTTAACCATCTGTACCACCTAAGAGCAGTTAGCTGCCAACCAAATGGTAGGTGGTTTGGATGCACCAGCTGCTCTGTAGGAGAAAGATAGACAATCTCCTCTTGCACTGTTTACAGCCTCTGGAAACCTGCTGGATGGTCAGATATATGAGTCAGTTCTAACAGCACATAGTAACGACGTCAGGCTGGAGACTAGGGTGTGCCTGATCTGGACTACAGTCTTCTCAATTACGTGCTATATGCATCAGAGATTTGGACTGTGAATAGGGATGATAGAGAATTGATGCCTTTGAGCTGTGGTGCTGGAAGAAGAGTGTTGAATATACTATGGACTGCTAGGAGAACAAACAGATTTGTCCTGGAGAGGGTGAAACCAGAATTCTCCTTGGAGTCAAGGATTCTGAAGCTTCGTCTGACATACTTTGGGCATGTTGCAAAGAGGGACTGGTCCTTGGAGAGGGACATCATGTTTGGGAGAGCGGACAGATGGCACAGGAGAGGAAGACCCTCGGTAAGATGGATCGATTCTGTGATTGGAGCGGTGGGAATGAGTGTGTTGGAGACGAGGTTAACACAGGATAGAGCAGCATTTAGGACTCTGGTACATCAGGTCGCTCTGAGTCGCAAGTGACTTGACAGCACATAAGAACAACCATGCTCTTCGGGCCGCCACGCCCTTCTCCTTCCGCGCAAAGGAGTTGCCGAAAGATTCGCTGTCTGAGCCATGTCAAAGAAAAAAGGACTGAGTGCAGAAGAAAAGAGGACGCGCATGATGGAAATATTTTTTGAGACGAAAGATGTATTTCAACTAAAGGATATGGAGAAGATTGCTCCTAAAGAGAAAGGCATTACTGCAATGTCAGTAAAAGAAGTCCTTCAGAGCTTAGTGGATGATGGCATGGTTGACTGTGAGAGGATTGGAACTTCAAATTATTATTGGGCATTTCCAAGTAAAGCTCTTCATGCACGGAAGCGTAAATTAGAGATTCTGGAGTCTCAGTTGCCTGAAGGAAGCCAAAAGCATGAAAACCTACAAAAAAGTATCGAGAAAGCAAAAATTGGTCGGCATGAGACAGAAGAACGAACCAAGCTAGTAAAGGAGCTTTCTTCCCTTCGACACCAACAGGAACAGCTCAAGGCGGAAGTAGAAAAATATAAAGAATGTGACCCACAAGTAGTGGAAGAAATACGTCAAGCAAATAAAGTAGCCAAAGAAGCTGCGAACAGATGGACAGATAACATATTTGCAATAAAGTCTTGGGCAAAAAGAAAGTTTGGATTTGAAGAAAATAAAATTGATAAAAACTTTGGAATTCTAGAAGACTTTGACTACCTAGACTAAAAGGGTAAATGGTAGTGTATGCTCTAAGTGTTTGTGAATATGTAAATTTCTGTATTATCAAAATCAATATACAGTAAAGTCATTTCCCTATAACTTTATGTATCATTTAATTTAAATAAAGTACAAACTGGAAAAAAAAAAACAACAACAACCATATGATTTAGGGAGCTCTGGTTGTGTAATCTATAGTACTATGTGGTGCTAACCATGGTACCTTTCTTGTAGTTTAAATCCACCAGCAGCTCTGTAACAGACAGATAAATGGATGGACATCAAAAATCCACTGCGGAGGTCAGCTGTGGGTTTGAGTTTTTGTTTGGTGTTTTGTTTTTTTCCCCTTAAGCGTATGATTTATTATTATATTTTGTTAGAATTAAGCAAGAAATTAACACATCAAATTGTTTAGTTAGTCAAAATTTCAAAATTAATTTTGGCATGGTGCTCCAGTATCTTTAATGCTTAGAAGACACTCTAAAGATCTTAATCCATCCAGAGCTGAGGCTTATTCATTCAGCAAATAGTGATTGGGGATTTGTTACCAGTATGTGCCATGCACTGTGTCTGTCTCTAAGAATATGATTATAAACAAGACAGGTAAGGCTCCTTCCTGATTAAAACTACTATTCTAGTGATGAGAGAAGGCATTAAACAAGTAAATAAAACCTAGAAGCAGGTTTATAACAAGATGGATTACATATGAGGGAAACGGGTGATGTAATAGAGAATGATTTAAGGTGAAGATGTTTGGGGAAGGCATCCATGGGGAAGGAACATTTGAACTGAGACTTGAAGCACAAGAAACAAGCAAGATAAGTAGTATGGCTGAAGAAATAGCTCATTGTAACACCTTTCAACAGAAACAATAAGATTTCTAGAGAATTGGTGTGTTCTGGGAGTAAAAAGATCT